TCTGTGGCCCAGGCTGGAATGCAGCGGCGTGATCTCAGCTCACTGCAACCTCCGCCACCCAGGTTCAAGCAGTTCTCCTACCTCAGCCTCCAGAGTGGCTGGGATTACAGGCCTGCGCCACCACACCCGGCTGGTTTTTGTATTTTTCGTAGATATGGGGTTTCACTGTGTTGGCCAGGCTGATCTCGAACTCCTGACCTCGGGTGATCCGCCCGCCTCGGCCTCTCAAAGTGCCAGGATTACAGGCGTGACCCGCCAGGCCGGCCCTAGTCCTGTCTTTTACTTTCCAAGCCACGTCCCCACCTCCTCACCCCTGCCCTTCTTCTGGTCTCTCCACTCCCCACTCTGCCCCTGCCATTTATGTACCATACAGTGCCAGAGTGGTCTTTCTACAGCAAACTGGCCTAGGGCCCTTCCCTACCCACAATTCTCGGAGCTGTAGGTGGAGTTAAAAATCAAGTGCTTTGGCTTGGCATTCAAGACCCTTTCCCTGCAGGCACTGCCTTACCTTTCTCAACCTGATTTTCTGCCGCCTCTCTACCTCCACCCCAGATACTCAGATCCTCCCTCTTCTGGCCATAGCCCACTGTTTGCCTTTCCCCCGTGACCTTTGCTGTCTAGTTTGCTTTTTTTTTTTTTGTTTTTTAAGAGACTGGGGTGGGGGATCTTGCTAAGTTGTCCAGGCTGGTTTCAAGCGATTCCTCCTGGATTCAAAGGGTCCTCTCACTTCAGCCTCCTTAGTGGCTGGGACTACAGGTGTAGTCCCACCAGACCCAGCTTGTCTGACTTCTTTGAGCACACTCTTTCTTCTGGCAGGATTGCCCCCAGCCCACCAGTTATAAATTATCTGAGGGTCTATCTTGTGCCAGGGACTTTGCTACATGTTGAGGATAACAGCGAGCAAAACCAGAAATGGTTCCTGCCACCAGAGCACTCACAGTGCAGGGGAGCAGCCCCGTTACTCAAATGTGGGTTTGGGTGCAGAACTGGGTATGAGGTGGTGCTTTTCCTAAGAAGAAACAGAGCTGAGATGGGGGGGATTTTCCGGGTTCAGACTTAGACCTAAGAGTGCAAGGTCCCTCTGAGACACCAAATGAAGGGTCCAGCTGGCTCCTGGTCTGGAGCTTCGAGGAGAAGTCTTAGCTCAGAGCCACATTCACGGCCCAGCCTAAATGCAGCCTCCTGCAGGGAGCCCCCCTGAGCTTCCACAGCCTCAGATCTGCCCCTCTGCATAGCCCTGATCTTTTGCCAAGTGGTATTTGGGTCTTTACATCATCTCCCTTATGTGTCCGGGAGTGAAGGCCAGGTTCAGGGACTTGAGCTTGTGTGCTCTGGTGTCTTCAGGGAGAATGTGTAAAGCAGAGAAGAGGCAGCTTGGAGAAAGGGAGTCTCAGAGGAGAATCAAGAACATCTGAGCAGACAAGCCTGGGAGCAGGAAAAGAGATGAGAGCGAGCAGGAAACAGCGCTGGGGCCGGGGAGCAGGTGGGAAGATCAGGGAACAAGGGGGCTGGAGAGGTGGGGGTGGGGATGAGCTAGGGGCTTGCCTGGCTCGCCTGGCTCAGGCGTCAATGACATCCTTTCACAAGGGCCAGTTCACCTAATTGTACCAAAGCCCTCCCTCTGTGAGTAGGGCCAGAGGGCCCAGAACACAGATCAACCCAATGGGCAGGCCTGAGGTGGACTCAGGGGTGGGTGCTGGGCTGGGCTCCTGGCTGTGGGGAGCAGCCACCACCCTGCCTACTCCATCCACTTTCCAACTCGCTGCCTATCTGGAGCAGATGCAATATTTAGTGCCTTGTGAAAGATGCTCCTTGTGCACCTGCTGCCTGCCGCCCCTCCCCCCAGCTGCCCTGGGCGCTCCAGAGGGGGGTCCTATGGATGCGTGGCCTAGATTCTGAGCCCTGCCTCTTACACCCAGGACCCCTTTCCCAGAGGCCAGCTGCTTGAGTACCCGGGAAGCCAGTCCGTAGCCCCAGGCTAGAGCCGGGTCCCTCCCACAGCCCTTCTTTAGCGTGTCTGTGTGGACTGACTGATTTCATAGAGAGGGGTGTGTCTTGCCCAAGCCCGTTTGGCATGTCTGAGGCAGCTCTGGGGCCAGATCTGCAGCTCCCAGCCCCCAGCTCTGCAATACTAGGGAAGGCTGGATCCCACATCTCTGAAGTCACCAGGCTGGTCCGACCCGGTTCCCGATTCCAGGGCTGTTCTGCAGGCTGTATGCTCCAGCTCCGAGCCCATCCAATGCGCTCAGGTGGCTCACCTTTGGGCTTGTCCTGCCTCTCAGGCATTCAGCTGACCCACATCTTGACCACCGGCTGTGGGCTTGAGTTAGAAGTCCCCAGAACTTAGACCATTTGGCCCAACCCCCCATTTCTCAGCTGGGTAAGCTGAGACCAAAGAGAGGAAGAAACTTTCTCAAGTGCCCCCAGCAAGTCAGAGACAGACCAGGTCTAGGAGCCTCTTCCTGACAGAGGTCTTCCCTGAGCCCTGAGTCTTCTTCAGTGCCTCACTAACTTCCCTGTAAGGCGACTGCCCTGCAGAGGCTGGAAACGCTGCTGTCCAGGGCAGTGTGTGCCCGTGACTGCGCCAGTGTTTGTGCTTGTGAGTGTATGGGGTGGGGGTGAGGGGTTCGAATAAACAGCAGGGATACTGGGGGCTGGAATGCACCCCCCTTACCCCCAAAATGGTGGGCAGGGGAGCCCAGCCCAGCACAGCACATGCCTAGACTTCCCAGTCTACTGAATGCCTGTGAGGCCAGCTGGGCTCAAAAGACAAGGAACAGCCTTTCCCCCCAGAGGGCAGAGGTGGCCCGGGATTCCTGGAAGCTTCTGCATCGTGGAGGGAGGCTCACATCGCAGCCCTGGGGCTGACAGTTAAACAGAGAAGCCGCCACTAGGGGTCAGTCATGATCCAATGGCTCTGATGCTGAGTGGGCCCCACCAGCCTCTGCCCAGGGTTGTTTTCCAGGCCTTTAGGAGAAAAACTGTTCCCCTTGAGAAAGGGGCTAACGATCTGAGAGGAAGCCATAGCTGGAATTCCAAACTGTGTGAGTGTGTGTCCAGTTTGAAAAGCATATCCAATCTAAACATTTATACTGAAAAAATGGAAAGATATACCCTTTGTTTTTGAATACAAACTACAGAAAGCAACAGTTAACAGACTCTTACGGGAAAGATTAGATTCTGCATCTGGAAAGGCAGAGTGATTTTTCAACTGGGGTGCATGTTGTTAACTGAGGAAGGGAACATGATATTTATTAAAAGGCAGCTATGAAATTTTTTTAATCAGAGAAGTTACCTTTTATAAAGAGCGTACCACATACTATTAGTGCTTCTTCCACCATGTGTAGTAATCACCTGGATGCTTGTATAAATGCAAATTCCTAGGCTTTATTCCCAGAGATTCTGATCCTGTGAGCCTAGGGTGGGGCCCAGAAATCTGTACGGATTGATGCAGGCTGCCCCAGGACCGCACCTAAGGAACACTGCAAGTGCCCCACACACATCCACATCTCCAAATATGTAGGCAGGCCATATTATCTCCACAGAACAGATGGGGAAACTGAGGCCCAGGATGGGGAAAGAAATGGCACAGGGTCACCCAGTAAGTAGTGGCAGAGCCACAATAGACACACGGCCCGGAGCCACAGTACACACACGGCCTGCAGCCACAACACGCACACTGCCTGGAGCCACAGTACACACACACTGCCTGGAGGCACAACACACACACATGGCCTGGAGCCACAGCACACACACTGCCTACAGCCACAGCGCACACACGGCCTGGAGCCACAACACACACACTGCATGCAGCCATAACACACTCACTGCCTGGAGCCACAACACACTCACTGCCTGGAGCCACAACACACACACACACGGCCTGGAGCCACAACACACACACAGCCTGCGGCCACAACACACACACCGCCTGGAGCCACAGTACACACACCGCCTGGAGCCACAACACACACACGGCCTGGAGCCACCATATTAGATGAGAGCTCCACCTCCCTAGAGTAGTTTGTATTTTGTACTTTCTGTAGTTTGTATTCCAAAATGATGGGTATATCTTTCCGTTTTTTCAGTATAAATGTTTAGATAGGATATGCCTTCCAAACTGCACACACACACCGACGGTTTAGAATTCCAGCTACGGCCTCCTCGCAGATTATTAGCCCCTTGTATGTTCCCTGACTCCTACCTCCTGCCTCCCCTGTGGTGGGTCTCCATGCAAGGAAGAGGTAGCCCTGGTGTTCTAGGCTGACTGGGGCTTGGAGGAAAGCCTGGGTGAGTGTAGGAGCTAGAAGGGCCCTTGGAATTCAGATGGGGAAACTGAGCCCCAGAGAAGGCAGTCTACCAGGAGAAGGGCTGGGTCTCCTTCCTGAGTGTTAGGTCCAACTTCAGCAGTCTGGGCCTCAGTCCAGCTGGCTGTCCAGGCGCGGCACGTCTCGGATGGGTGACCAGAGGCTGTGGTGCCGTAAAACGTGTTTCCTGGGAGATGCACCCCAAAGCACAAAACGTTCCGGGGCTGGTGATTTAAGCAAGCCCCCTTCCCTGTCGGCCCAGTTTCGCCATCTCTACCGCAGCTGTGTTAGAGGAGACTTCTCTCTAAGGCTGAGCAGCAGATTCGCTCCCGAGTGCCTACCCCGCCCTGGTGGCTGACCCCTCTGCGCCCACGCTTCAAGAAAGTCACCTCTAAGGCAAAAAAAGAACCTCGGCCCTGTTGGGAGCGGGAGCTGGTGCACTACCAGCCTCCCAGGCCGCGGGGGATGACCCGGGCTTCCTGCCCCGCTGCCCAGCCCGCAGACACTCCGGCAGGGTGGCCCTGGCGCTCGCAGCGGCTCCGGGAAGAGTTGGCCCCCACTCCAAACCTGGCAGACCCACGCACGCAGGCCCTCCCCGCCGCCTCGGCGAGTGGGCTCAGCCCTGCCCACGCCCTCATCTGGCCGGGACAGCCTCGGGCCACTCCCCCGGGCGCAGGGCACCCTCCCTTCCACCTGTGGCCAGTCCAGCCCCGTTCAGCCCAACTCAGGCGCCCCTCCCTCCCTTCCCGAAAAGAACTCACCGCGCCCGCGAAGGGCGACCAGGAGGAAAAGGAGCAGGGAAGGCGCGCGCCTCATGGCCGGCGGGGCGGGTGGCAGCCGCCGCGAGCTCTGCTGTCGGGTCCCAGGCACCCGGGAGCAGCGCGCGGTGGAGTGAGCGCAGGTCCGGGTCCCCAGCTTTGCGCGCGGCGGCGCTCACTAGGACCCCGCGGACAGCCCGGCCGAGCCCCGCCCACCCGGGGAGAACCGGGTCCGCTGCTCCGCCCCGCCGCACGTGGGTGGTGTGGACCCCGCGGCCGCCTGGCTTCCCGGTCTCCTCGGGCCTCCCAACCTTCCCCAAGACAGGCAGGCAGGACAGCGCCTGCACCCCTGGCACAGCCGGGGAGACTCGAGGGCGGCGGACGCCGGCGCAGGAGCCTCTGCTGTCGGGGAGGAGCACGTGCTGGGGCGGGGAGGTCCTCGGCTTTGCCTCCCTTGCGTCCAAGAGGCTTTTAGGCAAATGACTCATCTCAAGCTCTTACTCATGGGGTTTGCTGACAGAAAGGACACTGCCGGGTGAGCCGAGAGGGAGCGCTGCTCTCTGCAGACTTAGCAGGGAGGGCACTTAGGAAAAGTGAGTGAAATCTGGGAGGGTGAATAGCTCAGGGCCCCTCACCCAGCTTGGCGGCTGGGGAAGGAGCAGAGTTAAAAGGGACGGGACGGGGCTGGAGTGGGCTGGCCTTGTCCTCCGCCTTGGGCCTTCCAACCCGGGCTCAACAGAGGCCGCTCAGGTGATTCAGGGGAACATCCGTCTCCCAGCCAGGGTGTCCCTGCCGCGTTTTTGGAATCAGTACCATGCCCTGGAGGGACAGACCCCACCTCCGGACCTGGCTGGGACTGCTGCCTCAATTCTGGATCCAAAAGGGCCTCTGGCAGCTTCTCCATCTCCCTCTCAGTTCAGTCCTCCTACCTGCTCCCCCATGTGGGCCCTAACAGGCAAAGCTGACAACTGGAGGAACAAGGCAGGAAGGGCCTTCCTCTGAGCCCTCTGAGCGAGTGACCTCCTGTTAAAAGGCAGCTTTGCCCTTTCTCTCCAGGACTCTGAGTCTCGCTTTCATATTGCTCCCCCCATGTCATTTTGCTCTAATCTGTCATGTTGAAACACGGTCTTTAAAAACAACAGCTAAACAACAACAACACTGTTGGAATGGGACAGACTTCCCCTTTGGGACGTTTGGAGAAGTTACGTTTGAGGGCATCCTGTCTTCCCCAAACTGCAGCAGTAATAAGCGAGATATATAAAGTTAATTAAAACAACATGGCAAGGGTGCAAAATGAGATAATTGTCTCCATGAACCAAAACCAGAAAAGACATACAAAGTGGTTGGAGGCCAGAGTCTGGAGCCTGCTGGGCTTTGGAAACCGAAGACAGGTCCTTTGAGATAAAGACCAAAAGACTCTTGGCTAGAAGCTGGGAACTTGGGAACCCCGGTACTTGAAAGGATGCTGGGAGCAGGGGCCTGCTGCTGATCCCACGGTCTGTACCCCTGCTTCGCAGGATGTGTACATCCCCAATATACCCAGGACAGGAGCTTGAAAATGACATAACACCTGGAGGCCACTGCAAAACTGTAAAAGGCCAGCAAAGGGGACAGGATGAAATAGGTTTTTATAGAAGTTTGACATATATTTTTTTAAATAAAAAGAAGAGCTGATTATCTATTGAGGATAATGTAATCTTGGTACAAAAGTAGAACAAGGATGTACAAGGAAAGTACATTATAGAACCATTTGAATGATGGGTCTTTGTCACAGAGAGCACAGAGCAGTGGCTATGCATTGCCTCTGGAGCCAGGCAATCCGGATTTGTATGCTGGTGCCACTAATTATCTTCTCTGCCACTAACTATCTTCTCTGTGACCTTAAGGAAGATGATTTGCCTTCACTGTGCCTTAATTTCCTCATATGTAAAGGGGGAAAATAACCTACACAATAAGCCCTCTAGGACAAAATGAAATAATTCATGGAAAGTAACTTAACACTAGCCAGAACCAGACATTAGCTATTTGGTTCTGAGTAGTGTTAATATCTATTTGGTTCTGGGTAGTGTTAATGTCTATTAGAAAACCAAATAGACATTAACTATTATTAACTTTTATGAACATGGATTCCAAAATTTTAAAATAATACCAAGTTGAATACAGGAGTGTACACACACACACACACAATACATTATGATAAATTAGGTTTTGTTACAATGATGCACGGGCAGAGTCAATGTCAGATAAGTTGCTATTAGCAAGCTTGCTTCCTTTTTCTTTTTCTTCTTTCTTTTTTTTTGAGACAGGGTCTCTCTGTTGCCGGGGCCTGAGTAGAATGGCAGGATCTTGGCTCACTGCAACCACCACCTCCCAGGGCCACGCAATCTTCCCACCTCAGCCTTCCAAAGTGCTGGGATTATAGGCATGCAACACCACGCCCAGCCCTATCTTCCTTGATGTGTAGCAATTATCATACTTAATGAAACTTTAGAAGCAATTTCCATCAAAGTTAGGACGTAGACAAGGGTGCCTTCTGTCACTGTTTCTATTGAACATGGCACTGGAGGTCCTAGGCAACAGGGTACTACATATGAAATTGCTTTCTTTTTAAGGTTATGAGATGCCCAACATCAGAAATGTATGTGATTCAACATTTGTATGTGATTCAAGGAATAAATGAAGAAAATACAATTTTAAAATAGGAAAGAAAAGGAACTACCTGTATATGCAGATAGGTATGATTGACTATGCAGAAAATCCAAAAGAATATACAGATAAATTATTAAGAGAGTTTGTAAGGTTGTTGGTGAATTCAAGTCCTATTAGCATTCCTAGACATCAGTAATAACAAATTAGGAAATGCAATAGAAAGAGAGATTCTATTCACAATAGCAGCAAAAACCTGAGAATATTTCTAGTGAAATATACATAAGCCCTTTCATGAAGAGTACTGCTGTGGACTGAATGTGTCTCCCAAAACTCATTTGTTAAAACTTAATCGCCGGCTGGGCGCCATGGCTCACACCTGTCATCCCAGCACTTTGGGAGGCCGAGGCAGGTGGATCACCTGAGGTCAGGAGCTCAAGACCAGGCTGGCCAACGTGGTGAAACCTTGTCTCTACTAAAAATACAAAGAATAGTTGGGTGTGGTGGCAGATGCCTGTAATCCCTTTTAGTCGGGAGGCTGAGGTAGGAGAATTGCTGGAATCTGGGAGGTGGAGGTTGCAGTGAGCTGAGATCGTGTAATTGCACTCCAGCCCAGGCTAAGAAAAAAAAAACTCAATCGCCAAGATGATAATATTAAGAGGTAATGCCTTTAAGGAGTGATTAAGTCATAATAGCAAGTCCTCATGGAAGAGATTAGTGCCTTATAAAAGGGCTTGTGTGGGTGGGCTATGTGTTCTTTCTGCTGCATGAGAACACGGCATCCCCTCCAGAGGATCCTGCATTTCAAGGCACCGTCTTGGAAACAGAGACCAGGCCCTCACTCGACACTGTACCTGCTGGAGCCTTGATTTCGGACCTCCAGGATTGAGAAAATAAGACTCTATTGTTTGTAAATTACCCAGTCTCAGGTATTTTGTTATAGCACTACAAAGGGTCTAAGACAAATATAAAAATTACCCAGGAAGAATTGACTAAATCGAAATATATGCCATATATATTATGAAGGGGAGGGCTCAACGCTAGAAACATACTACTCACGAAACTAATCTGTAAATGCAAGCAATTCCCAAACAAATCCCAATAGAATTGCTTTGTGGAAATTGACAGGCTGATTCTAAAATTCATGTAGTAATCGAGGGCCCAAGAACAGTGTGCAGACACTGCTGGTGCCCTCTCCATACCCCTCAGCATTGCCAACCACATACATGCCAGGGCTGATGCTTTCAAGGGCACCGTCAGTGTATTCATCATGCCTTTTCGTTTTCTGTATTTCCTGATGTTTGGACAGCTGGGGCCTTGCTGATCCTGGAGAGACTGCTCATCCCAAGGCTGACCAGTTCCTAGAGACAGTAAGAGACTCACCTCCAAGTGCACCTTCCATGTGCAAACCAGCCAATCCAAAGCCCATACCCCCAACCACCTCCTTCATCGGGCTCTTACACCGAGCCACTGTCCATCTGCCCTCATCAACCCAGGACCATGAACCAGACAACTAGGGACAGCCCTATGTCCCAGAGCCGAGTGAAAATTATTCAAACTATTAATAACTTATCCTGTGCCTGCTTACCCTGGCTTGACCTGCCTTTCTCTTGGATGCCACAAATAAAGCTCTTGCCCACATTTTTCCCCTAGCTCCCTTTACTTCTTGACCAACCCTGGTGCTTCCCATGTCTCCCTGCCTGGCATGCCATGGCTAGTGTTGCTAGGAACCTCTCAGTATAAAAAACTCCTTCTTTCAGGACAGTCAGTCCCATAGATGTGTATCTTACTATAGCTGATGAAAATCTTGAGTGCATTTTAAAACAGCCATGAGGAAAGGGAGTGAGGGGATAAATACACAGCTTCCTCACTCCTCACATGGTAACTGAAGGGCCCAGTGAGATTGAGCCCCAGTTACTCTTTGTGGCAACCTGCTCATTAATGCACCATCTATCGGCTTTCTTCCCTTCCCTATCTCACTTCCCACCCTCTTATCTCGCTTCCTGGAATCATCTTCTAAAAAATGCTTGCGCCCAAATCCTTGACTCAGGCTCACCTTCTTGCAGAACCCAAAATAACACATTTCTAAAGAATAAGAATGACATAGAGAGGCTGGGCCTGGTGGCTCATGCCTGTAATCCCAGCATTTTGGGAGGCCAAGACGGGAGGATCACCTGAGGTCAGCAGTTCGAGACCAGCCTGGCCAACATGGTGAAACCCTGTTTCTACTAAACACACAAAAATCAGCTGCGTATGGTGGTGCACACCTGTAGTCCCAGCTACTTGGGAAGTTGAGGCAGGAGAATCACTTGAACCTGGGAGGCGGAGGTTACAGTAGGCCAAGATCACGCCACTGCATTCCAGCCTGGGCAATGGAGCAAGACTCCACCTCAAAAAAAAAAAAAATGACAAAAAAAAAAGAAAGAGGTCAGTGGGTAATGGAAGGTTTAGGATTTGTGTACATACAATAATGTCATAGGAATCAGGAGAATGAAATGTTGTTGAGGGGATGTACAAATTGACTCCT